CGTTGCCGCCCTGTTGCCGGTACAGCATTACCATCATTCCGTTGCGCCGAACCCTTTGTTTACACCGCACCGCACACTTGCTCCTCTCCCACTGATTGGCGTGCATGGCCAGGAGGGGTGGCTGTTTCCGTTCCAGCTTCACCGTTCATGGACTCCAACAACCACCACTTTGCAGACAAGCAGGAAAGCGGGCCGCGAGGACGGATGGGCGGACGATCATCACACCGGACTATCATGGCGGAGGCGTGGCGCCAGGGGGAATCGACGACGAGGGAGGGCCGTCTCCTCTCCTGGAGGTCGTCGTAAAGCGCCGGCCTCCACTCACGCCACCGGAGAGGAATGAGATCCCCGGCAGATCGCATCGGCAGCACCGCCTACTCGAGTGCCCAGGAAAATAGCGCCCGTGCTTCCTTCCGATCATGCTACCCTCCCCAGCCAGATTTCAGTCCACCAAGAAACAGAGAGGGCAACTTGCAGGTTAAACTATCCCAAACAGTTTGCTGGGGCTCTGCATACCAGGTATGCTAGTTTAGAACTTTAGATGTATGTGTGTGTGTGGCTGGTGAGGCTCACTGGAAAGGGAAGCTCTAACAACTATGCTAGCTAGGAACATGCCCCCCGGTTGAATTGGTTGCTCAGTCACATCCACATATAACTAAGTCCAACAAACATGATCCAATTTGATCTTAAAAAACATCTCTAAGTCCAACAAACATGATCCAATTTGATCTTAAAAAACATCTCTTCCCCTTGGATCAACTCCAGGAAAAGAATCCACTCCAACAACCATGTCAAAGCAAAGCAAATCCATCGGCGAAAATCTACGGGCATGATAACACTACCGGATTCTACAATCATTTGCTAGAGCGCCCTAAAAGAAGAATATCTTGAATTGGATAACTGTGACGCCACACTTGTGTGTCAATCCAAATGTAGCTGGATGCTTGAAGCAAAAGGAAACGCGCACACACAAGCGCGGGACAAGGGCGTATGAAAACCAGAAGAAAATGTATCGACATCAATATCAATAATGGTACAAAAATATGGGACAAGGGTGTATGATGATATTTAACTCGGGGATGAAGTTTCTACAAGGCAGGCTAAATAATAAACACATATCTGACATTTCAACCTCGGTACCATCCATGAGTTTTAAATATACAGAGGGGCTACACAAATGATGAGTTCTCGATTCGGAAGTTTTTACTGAGCTTTTTAGACAACTATATATTTATTCAAAAATTAAGACGAGCAATTGGAACTGTAATCCAACACTTCATTCACAGGCCTTCCTTCCACCCCAGCTTACTGCAACATCGGCAAATGGACTCTCCAGGACAAATCAGAAACAACTCCCCCTCAGGCTCGGCGACACAGGGACGAACATAGAACCGTTTTGATCTTATTTTGGACCCCCACCCCTAATCACAAGATGCATGCTTGATTTGATCCCCAATGCACAACTGCTCAATCACACCATCCAATGTTTGCCATTGACTCGCGCAACTTGTAATAACAATAATGATAAGTAACAGCAGGATTACCTCTAGGATACGCAGCATAACAGAATTCACCCATCCTTCGCTATGAACCACCACGGTTCTGATTCATGTCAGCCTGACCGCCGGCATCAGGTGCTCCCATGGGCTGCTGATACTGAGGTGGCAATGATGCTGGTGGTGCTCCTGCCTGGGAGTAGAAGACCTGTGCGCGGGGATCAGCGGCATACTCGGGGTACCCATAGTTTCCCGCCATGGTCGGCGGAGGCTGCGATGCAGGATGGTGGTGGGATTGCATTACATGGTGGTACCCCATTCCAGCATAATTAGGGGCCGTGTTAGCCCCTGGAGCAGGGGCAGAAGGCGCCGCGGTTCGGTACATGCCAGGCTGCTGCAATTCAGGCTTCATATATTGCTGAGGAATCGGCACGGTTGGCTTCGGTACGCTGTCAACAAGTGTCGGAGCAGCCATAGGGGCTACAGCACCAGCAGGAATGCTATACTGCTGAGGTGCATTCGGACGCTGCATAGGGA